GAACGTTAACAGTCTTTGTAGGGGCACAAAAATCCCATCAGGTCAAATCAGGCAGTAAAACTTTGTGAATTAGTTTAGAATAAAAAGTTGTGTGAGAGTTTATAGCAAAAACTGGGTCACGGCAAAATTTAAGGGAAGGTCAAGTGAACCATAACATACCAGGTAACAAGAAAAGATGTGGAGCTGGAATGCCACGTTACTATGGGATGGGCCCGAATCACGCGTCTCGGAAGGATCTAAGTGCCTGTGTCTCAGCTCTGAATCTCAAACTGATAACCCAAATCCATAACCACATCGGGATGCCCAATCTTCAACCAAAGAATTTCAGCTGACGTGTGACCACAGCTTATCAATACTAAGAGGTGCATTGCTTCCCTGTTTCGTTTCCGAAATGGAGATGCATCTTGCAACTGCTCTAGGCCAGGTGGCAGTCACGAATGGGTGTCACTGCCTGCATGTTATGGGCGGAAATGTAACCCCTCCAAAATCCACATGTTGAGGTCCTAATCTCCACTACCTCAAAACGTGTCCTTACACGGCAACTGGGTCATTGAGGATGGCACGTATTAAGCTGAAGTCACATTGGAGGAGGGTGGGCCCCAACCCGATGTGACTGGTGTCTTTTAAAACAGGAAATTTGGATGCAGAGACACACACATGAGGAGAATGCCGTAAAGACCGGAGTGTGCCTCCACAAGCCAGGAATTCTCAGAAGCAAGGAGAGAGACCTGAAGCAGATCCTTCCCGCAGCTTCGCAGGGAGCCCGGCTCTGCGAACACCTTGACTTTGGACTTCCAGCCTCCAAAACCCGGAAAGAATCATTTTCTGTTGTTCCAGGCATAAGGCTGGTTGCCTCGCCAGGAGTTCGGACACACCCACCCATCTCTGCGCCCCAAACCTACGTCACATCTCTGCGCCCGGAACCTCCCTCAGGAGCACATGCTCTCCTGGAAGGATCAGGCTAATGTAACCTAAGCCGGATCTTGCATTAGGGAAATCCCGCCCAACAATCTACCTACCAATAGCAGCTTGCCCCATCCATGTCCAGCTCCCCCATAACCAATCAGAGCACCCTGCTCCTCCTAGCTTGCTATAGCTATAAAAACCCTATGCCTTAGGAAGTCAGTGCGACTTCTCTGGCCCCCCATTCCCAGACCATAGAACCTCGTCCGGGAGCTGAATACATTAAAATTTAATTGTTCTTATACTGGCCTCAGTTTCCTCATTTTAAACTCGGCAATAACCCTTACACCAGGCTAACCAGCTGTGGTGCTTGGAAGGTTCATACACTGCCCATGGGCGAACTTGGTCACAGCTGTTCACGTTGCCCTTCCTTCTAACGAACTGTGTGCATTGCTTAATTGCCATTTAATATGTCTTTTAAAAGATTATGTTATGATTCAGCACTGAAAATTTAGCGTTTTCCAGGCCTTTCAATGTAAAGGAATGGAAACATGGGGCATATATTTGATATTAGTGAAAAAAATGCTCGTGGTTGGTGGATTAGACAGTAGTTCCAGATTTTCTTGCAAAGCAACACCTAAGTGCTTCATGGGACCTAGGAAAGGCAGACATCCACATGTAGATGAAGCTGGGCTGTGTTTTGATACTGAAGCATGTGCAGACTGACTGCCTATCACATGCCCCACAAAAAAAAAAAAAAAAAGTGCTGAGATGGAAACTCAAAGAATGCCTTATAAGGAACTTGAGTTTCATGTTTTCTGTCATTACAACTAAATTTGCTCCAAGGCCGTGTGCTGTGGCTCACACCTGTTATCTCAGAGCTCAGTGCTTTGGGACACCCAAGCAGGAGAATTGCTTGAGCCCAGGAATCAGAGACCAGCTTGGGCAGCATAAGCTGTCTCTACAAAAAAATTAAAACATTAGCTGGATGCGGTGGTGCATGCTGGTAGCTTTAGCTACTTGGGAGGCTAGGAGGGGGCAGAAGGATCACGTTAGCCTAAGAATTCAAGGTTGCAGCGAGCTATAATTGCAGCACTGCACTCCAGCCTGGGTGACAAAGTGAGACCTGTCTCAAAAGAAAAAAATGCTCCAAATGACGGCATGTAGCACAAATAAAGGTTTCACAATAATTCAAACTGAAATAAAGTAAAATAAACCTTGCTGTAGGAGGTGTGGGTTGGAGCCTCAAAGAACTTGCACCAAGCAGTGACAGCTGTAGCAACCCTGCAGGCTGGTGTTTCTCTGCCCAGGCCCTAACGTACACAAACCAATTTGGCACGCTTATTGGCAATCAACACAGTTGTGAATTGTGTGTTGAAGTATTGAATGTTTCCATTTCCAGGGATAAATATGATTAGGCACCCATACAATGCATATTTCTTTAATGCCAACAAGAACAATTCAGGAGACTAAGACCAGCTTGCCTAAGTTTTGCTTCATTAAAACTGGCATTCAAGAATTGTCTGGTAGAAGATTTGGCTTAAGTATGAGGCCTAATGTCACGGCACGGCGCTAGAAACAAAAGCTTTGAAATTTTCAATTCCACATTGTACAACAGATGTTTTCTGTATCAATATTAATGAAGGCAAAATACAAAAATTGAATATAGAGCTGGACATCAGCCAAATGTTTTTACTATTGAATCCAATACCAAAGATTTCATTTCAGCCAAATATATCATCATCACATTGTACTTACTCTGATATATCCCTTATGTTGTTTTGTTTATATTTTACCTTAAACTTGGTTTTAGTTTTATAGATGTATAAGACTATTACAGGCCGGGCACAGTGGCTCATGCCTGTAATCCCAATACTTTGGGAGGCCAAGGCAGGTGGATCACCTCTGAGGTCAGGAGATCAAGATCAGCCTGGTCACCACGGTGAAACCCCGTCTCCACTAAAAACACAAAAATTAGCTGAGCATAGTGGTGGGCACCTGTAATCCTAGCTACTCGGGAGGCTGAGGCAGGAGAATAGCTTGAACCAGGCGGGCAGAGGTTGCAGTGAGCTGAGATTGCACCACCACACTCCAGCCTGGGTGACAGAGCAAGATTCTGTCTCAAAAAAAAAA